CCCCTACGTCCGATCACGTGGGCCAGGAATGACTTTAAATAAAACTCCTATTGCTTTTCTTTGAACTAAACGACAGATCAGAATGAAGTGAGGATAAACAACAAAATGACATAGGAAGGAAGGAGCCAAAAAAATGAGAAAGAAAACTGAAAACAATGTCAGTTAAATAAATTAAAAAAAGAAGAACGAGGAGAAGGCAGGAGAAAATAATGTCGAGGAAGTACAGGCACTAATTTCTGTCCTTTCTTTCCATCTTGTAGCGATTTTCCTTTTTCCTCCTCTGCCTTGGTGTGTTATTTGTGTTCTCGTGTACAAAACTTCTCCTCGATTCACACTTTCTTTGCATTTCAATCCCTTCCCAGTTTCCGATTTCCAAAATTTTCTTAGGTTTTGCCTTTTCTTTATATATATATATATTTTTTTTTTCTTCGGTGTTCACTTTTTCTCCTTTCATCTTCCCTTCTGAATTTAGATCCCATTTTTTCCTGATTTTCCAAATTTTTTATCCTTTTACTGTCTTTTCTTCAGATGTTCAATATCCCCCCTTCTATCTTTTGTGGGGTGAATGCGGAAAGCCACGCTTGAGCTCAGATCACGTGGCTAGTTAAAAATAGTACCGCATCGTGTCGCTGACCTGTGGGTCACGTGACTACGCGCACCCCGTGGAACTGGCCTCTCCATAGATTGAAGGAGATCCAGACAGATCGAGTCTAACTTACTGTAGGTCCTTATACCTCCCCAAAGGCCACTCAACTGAATTGACTGAATTTCAGCTTTTCTACCTTGAACTCCCGATTTCCAACTTCCCTGATCTTTCCATCTTTTCTTGAGATTTCCGAGTTTTCCTCCATTTTCCATCTCCACGTTTTCTTTGGGTTTTTATGTTCCTTCTTTTCCTCCATTTTCCATCTCCAAGTTTTCTTTGGATCTTTATGTTCCTTCTTTTCCTCACATTTCCGTTTTCTTACAATTTCTCTTCTTTGTTTTTTTATTATTATTATTACTAATATCTCTCATTTAATAAATTTTCTGAATTCTGCTCCGATTTCTGAATTTTCCCGATATCTGACTTCAGATCTACCGATATTCGATTTACTCTCCGTTTTCCGTCTCACCATTTCTTAATTTTTTCTTACAATTTCTCACATTTCATCTGCACTTCCTAATTTCCAATATTCTTCCCCTTTTCATCTTTTCTGCTTTCCGAGTGTTCCGTTTTTCGATATTTGATTTCAATAAACCTCTTGACTTCCATTTTTTCAAACTTTTTTCCACCTCTGTTATTTTGAACTTTTCCATCTCGTCTCCTATTTCCTACTTATCCGTCTTTCCTCCCGATCTTAGACTTTCCCGCTTCTCTGTCTCATTTTCTTAGTCTTTAACTTTTCTCCTCCTTTTCTTACTCTTTTTTCCTCATTCCGCTTTCATGTTCTCTCTTTTTCCCGATATCCAGTTTCATTCTCATTATTTTTCTTCGCCTTTCTGAATTTTTGTCTAATTTTGTAATTTTTTTCTGATTTCCTCCTGTCTCCGTCTTTTATTTTGATTTCTTATTTCAGCCCATTTTTTTAGTCTTGCTCCGATTTCTGTGTTCCCTATTTTCTCTATCTGGATTTCCAACAATATTCTTTCTCATTTCCTCCGCATTTAATATTTTTCTTGTTTCTCTCTCCAAAATGTCGTCCTCTTTTTCCTTCGCGTTTCCGATTCGCAACTTTTCCTTCTATTTCTGATTTTCGTCTTTTCATCTCTTTTCAGTTTCCAAACTTCTTCAGATTTATGATTTCCGATTTTCCCTCCTGTTTGCCATTCTTAACCTGTAATTTTCGACTTTCTTCTTATTTGCAGTTTCCGATATTTTCCTCCTCTTTCTGTCTTTTATCCATCTTTCAATGTCTCTTCTTTTTCAGATTGCAGACATTTCTTCCTCTTTCCGTTTTCCCCCTTTTCCTAAGTAAATAAAAACTATTCTATTCTGTTCCAAGTTGTGTTCCTTCCACAATAATAAAAATAAAAACAACATTGAATCGAATGTCGAATATTCATCTTTCTTCCAATTTCCGGCTTTGCATTTCCTATCCGTCTTTCGTCTGAGATCAGATATTTCTTTAGCTTTCCGATATCCGATTTTTCCTTCCACTTCTCTCATAACTCGATTTTGTTGTAGGTACTTTATTATCCTTAATGGTAGAGCAATGCCTCACTTACCAGAGGACTGATCATGAATTCTATAATCGTTCCATGTACTTAGGAGTGGTTCGCAATTTTCCTCATTTTCACAAGTGTACAAAACATATACCTTTTGGAGACCCCTCAAACCCCCTCAGAAAATGTACAAAAATGCTGATTTCTCGGAAGCCTGCTTTATTATTATATAAAAGCTGAGACAAACCCTTGTAAGTATTGATTACAATTTTCGTGTAATCACCATATGTATGGCCCTCGTGTGTCAGTACTTGGCAGGAGCGAGACGAGTGGTCCGTTGATTCTACAGGGCATAGAAAAACGATCGACATTTTCTCCATTTTGAAAAGTGTACACTTGTCCCTTAACCCCCTTCACCCCAGCGTACTGTTTGTACGCTTGTGAAAATGGTGAAAATTTCTTCTCTTTACACGTTTTATTCCCGAAATCTGAATTTCTTTTTTTTCCAGTTTCTGACTTTTATTTTTCCTTGAGTTTTTCTTTCATATTACGATTTCCCTAATTAGGTGTCGGAAATGAGGAAAGGGTGAACGGGATATAAGTGCATCCATGAGGACAGAGAAAGATGGGAGTGCGTTCCTTCGCATGTAATAGAAGTAGAGAGAAAGGAGAGAGCCATTACTGACTTGGCTGAAATAAGCGGCAAGTTCAGTAGCAACTTGGGAAGGTTCAGGAATGAGTGTTATAGATATGGAGAACTGAGGGAGTATAAGGGGAATGTTTCCCTGATAGTTTATGGATTTTGTAGAAATAAGTGTAGAGGAGGTAATTGTGGACGCAACTTTGCCAACTGGTTTTAATTGACATTCAGATTTGATTGGCTGGGGTTATTTCGCTTGGAATTGGTACTGTAGGCTGTGAGAACGGAAGCCTCGGATGTTCCCCTGTAGAAGAGCCATTGTGGTGCAATCAGCGGGTGATAAGAGTAGAGATGAGTATCTGAGAAGTAGCAGGATTGAAGTAAAGGATCAGGAGAAGGAGATGAAGGTGTATCAGGAGGAGGTGGGATCCGGGGAAGGACATGGTGACAACAGGGATTTACGTGTATATCCATGAGGTGAGTGAACGGGATAATGGGGAAGGAGTGGATTTAGTGTGGGTGGAGGAGAGGATGGGGTTTGTTGGGAAGGAGTAGGGGGAATATGAGGAGAACGATGGATGTCGGCAGTCACTATGAATGTAGACGGAATAGGTGTAGAGAAATTGGAGGATGGATAAGAGAGAGGAGTATTCTCACAGGTCATGCTTAAGTTTCTGATGTCCTCAAGGGTTTCTGGAACGGAGCTGGGTAGGGAGGTTTGATTTTTTATGAGGTGGTGAAGAGGCGATAATCATTTGAGGAGATGTGGTGTGGGAAGGGATGTAGTAGAAGATGGGGTGGAATGTTTGGATTGTCTGGTGGGATAGGTAAGACACATAGGGACAGATATAGGGGGAGTTGTGGATACTGGATTATCTGGATTAGAATGGAAAAGGGATTTGACCAGGGAACAGGGGAAGTAGGCAGGGCAGCCCTTATAAAAAAAATACTTTATGGAAGCCATCGCAATTGACACACAAGTGATTATGCAGGACAGTTTGAATGGTTGTGGCCAGGTTGGGCAGAGAAAGAGAGTGACAGTGCTTTGTTGGGTGGCCAAAATGCCAACATTTCTGACACTGACGGGGTGGGGGTTGATATGGTCTGACTGAGCAAGATTGGGAGTCTAGAGAAACAACTCTTTATGACACTAGTCACAGGACTAAGTCATGACCTCTTTAGGCATAGATGGTTAATGTGCTAGACATCTAAGGTCATGTAGCAATATAGGAAAGTACAGTAAAGGAGTTGATGAGTGTTTGGGTTAAGGTAGGTTAGGTAAGGGGGGTTAGATCAAGTGAAGATATGTATGCATCTGAGGAAGGAGAACAGGTTGTCAAAGCAGAAAGTGTGAGATTCTGTAAGAATGTCTGATAGGTTTGGAGGTTGGTGAAAAAGGGATAGGTGGGGGAAAGCAGAGGTACGAGTTGCATCAAAGCGTGGACAGGACAACAGAATGTGTGAAACTGAAAGAGGAACATTACATATGGAACATAAGAGCAGATCAGAATGTGACATCAGATCGGAGTGTGTTAGACAGGTGTAGTTGGTTTAGGTGTAGTGTGTTGGTCTAGAACAGGCCAACATGCTGGATCAGCACTTCCACTCGGCCGATTAATATATGATTACCATGAAGTATGAATGTTTGGTATGATCTTAAAGAGCTGCTGAGATTACGCTCTTTAGCAAGATTCTTCTAAGAAGGTGTCACAAGATGTTGAGTTACTCATCTCATAGACTATAAATAAAATAATACATAAATCATGTAAATCAATTGGAATAATTATATATCAATCAGTTATGATTAACTCTGAGGAATTGAAAGGGGCTGGGCCACACACTATGCCCAGATGAAGCAAAATCTTCCTATGATTTCCAATTTTCTTTCTTTCGTCTTTCCAAATTTTCCTGCTTTCCTTCTGATTCTTAGCTCTAAAATAAAATAGCACCAACAAAACTAATATGCTATCAAACTTAAATACTTTAATATTTGTACTGCATGTACACATAATGTAAGCAGGATATCCTTTATTGCTTTTGGCTGTTGAAAATATTTAATGAAAAATTGTTAGGGTTCAGCACATTATTCCACACAATGGTGTATACATGACTAACACCAATAGTTTCTACAATATGTTTTGATTTATCATCCAAAAATATGTATACGAAATAAATCGCAGGTAAAAAACTAACAGGATAACTCACACAAGTCTACTGTGAACAAACACCTTTATTTCTAATTTTTACAAATAATACTAAGCAATATTTACACAAAGAATGAAGCTGTTTGTAGAGTAACAGGAATTCCATGAAGAAAGGCAATGAAGTCACTGGTAACAAGAAAAAGTTTTAAGAGATGAAGCTAAAAAGTATCATTTATAGCAGCAGATTTCAGACTTCACAGACAACCTTGCACTTCTGCTATCAGCTTTCTTATGCGTTTTCCGTGACCACTTTCCGTATAAGAGCGCTAGCTTCTTGCTGCACATAGCACACATTACCTAACTAAGCATTGAAATGTATCGGTCACTTTGTGTTGTCCATTGAAATGGAACAAATATTTACAGTTCTGAACAAAATAAACCCTATTTTACACTGATCATAATTAAAAACAGACTTGTACATAGTTCTGCATCATCATATACAACCCATAACTGAACAGATATACAATAACACAGTATAAATAATGGCACATAAACACACAACATGCACTCTCATTCAGTCAAAATGTTTGTTCCCTTCTAAATCCTATACGAGTATTATTAAAATGACTTATTCTACAATAAATTAAAAATTAGAAAAACAAAAATCTAAAAATCAAATACTAACGGGCCTGATTAATCACAAAGGAAATGTCAAACTGTACTGGCACATTCATCACACACAACGAACAAAGAAAAAATATCTGGTATCTCCTATATTATGAATAACAATGACAGCTGAAAATAGACATCCAGGTATTATCAACAAGATAAATAATTCACCCTATCCTAAATTCATAAAGGGAATATAGGTGCCATTATCCTTCAGTATGGAATGGATTTGCAGTCACTTCTCAGATCTGTGTTTCCTTGCTAGTATGTGTGGTAAACATCAAGTATTCCCTAGAATTCCTTTCTTCATCACAGTAACTGAATTTTCTATAAGTGAACTGCCTCTACACAAGTTAGCAATTGGAATATTTGTGCTCTTGGAAAATTAATTTTGGCATTATAATTTCTTCATCCCATGTATGGTTTTCAAAATGTAAACTAAATGGCCAAAACTTTCATATAAGAAGATTTAACTTTTCTGCTGAAATATATAACAATTCACATTTAAAATACCATAGCTGACTCAAGTTTATTTTCTTTCATAAATTAAAGATACTATATTGACACAGCAAAGGGCACATGCTTACCAACAACATACCCGTCTACTAAATATAAAAGAAGTACTATAATCATTGCAAGTCGGTGTTATGTGAAACACTGGAACACCTGATCATTGGGTTTCTTACCAACTAAACTGAAACATGTTCTAATATCTTGGGTAAATTTCTTCTAGTTTCTTAAGTAAATTTGTGAACAACTGGCAACCCAAGGTAAGCCAAAAAAAAAAAAATAATTATGTCTAAAATTTATGTTAGTGATTGAGAGAGAGAGAGAGAAAAAAAATACAAATTATCTATCTATATACATACATAGGGAAAGTATATCTACACAAGATCTGCAGCCTTACTATCAATAATTGCATTTCTGGACATACTGGGCAGAGTTTACAACTTGAGTGGACACTGGGTATACTAAACATTAACAAAACAAAGAAACTGCAGTTAACCTGTTGCTAATGTATGTATTCCAGTCTATGTAAAGTTGGGTGGATTGTGTCATGCAAATCATAATATCCTATAATAATCACAAAAATAAGAGTAATGTAAATTATGTTGTCTGTTACCATCTAAATACAGCCATATTGTTGACTAGATATATTTTATCTTTCCAGTGGTCTACAGGCTATCATGTGGGAGGGTTGTGGGAGGGTCATGGGAATGTCTGCCTTTTTGGTTTGTCTTAAAACTAGCACTTACGCTTGCACACGTGCTCTTGCACATTCCCAGAATATTACAGCTATGGAGAGAGAGTAAGTACCTAGATTTGCCGATATCTTCACATTAAACTGTCAGGAATAGCATAAGGCAGCACAAGGGATATACTGTAGTATCAAATATTCTGTTATGTAAAATAATATAGAACTCCTTGAGAATTCTCTTCTTTATCAAATATCCAAAAATCAAAGATCTGGTACCAGACTAAGATCTCCTTTTTCATATATTTATATACATATAAATCTTTTACAATATCAACATGAAAATCAATAAATAAATCATCCCACACCCACAATGTGTGCAGAAAAAATGTGTATTGGTTACATATTGATAACATAGTGTGCCCTAAACTTAGAAAAGAATTAAAGAAAAAGATAAAAAAAGAAAAAAAAAGAAAAAAGAAAAAAATGCATTCACAGTTACACAATGTAAAGACACCTTTGAGAGTACCGCTGCTTCCTGTCATGAAAACCATATCAAATGACAACATTCGAATTCACTGATTTTGTCCAACTTGTTGCTGAAGTCTTCATTACCACATGTGGGTCTCACGGATCTCCCCAATAATGACATTGGCATTTTGAAGAGCCTAAAAGGGGAAGAGAAGAAAATTAAGTAAAATGTAAATAGGAGGAACTCAGAATTTCCATTTATCTTTCCTAATTCTTAATCTATACATATAAATATATGACATACCAAATATATGTATATATATTAGTCAGTGTTATTCCTTTACAAAACAAATATTTTACAGATTGCTAAGCTCCTATCAGGTTTGAATGAATGTCCATCTCATCTCATCAGTGCTCAGCATCTTTGCAAATGTCTCACCTTCAGCATTTCTGCAGCTTCCTTCCTACGTTGAGCTATCTCAGGGGATTCTGACAGGAAGGTGTCAATCTCTTCTGTGCGATACAAATGCTTCACGAGCTCAGACTGGAGATTGTCTTTGACGTGGTTGACCAAGAAGTGCATGATGGCCTTGGGGACTTTATCCTGGATGCTCTTTCGTACAATGTAGAAGTATGTCTTGATTAGGCGTTCTGTGTGTAGAGTTGTGAGATAAAAATTCAAATATGTGTAGATATTTTTTCTTGCTGAAGACACATAGATCCTACACAAATATAATTAGACTGTTATAGATATAAAATGTCACTACCCTTAGCCTGTACCAAGAATAAGAAAAAAAAAAGGCCAGACAGAATCATTTACTGTAGGCTGCTTAACCTAAACCCCATCTACCATCTACCGCTACTCACCAATGACCTCGCAGTCTTTTGATTCCCTCTCGGTGAGCTTGCGTGTCTGCTGCATAGGGACCTCTGGGAGTAAGTTGACTGGCTTCTGTGGAGACAGGATGCCGCCCTCAGGGGGTGTTGGTACCTTTCCAACCTGTCAATGCACACCACACCCACACAGGGGGAAGACTAGTAAGCACAAGCAGCTACAGTGCGCTAAGCGAGGAGGACTTGCAGAATGTGTAAGAGAGCAAGGAGGTACATACACCTAGGTGCAGTGCCGATACAGAAGTCCTAAAGCATAGGAGTTTGCTTGAAAAGTCAGTACTTGTAATCCCAATGCATATAGGCAGGCTTATGATCATTTCCAAACACACAGACAATTTCCAATGAGAAATTGTCTGTGCCTTAAAATTTGGGTCACTGCAAAAAACCTCAATGGAAAAGCAAACACCTGCAATGTATGCCTTCTTTTGATCACAAGTTTGCAAGTCTATGAAGAGGGAGAAAGAAATAAAGGGGAAAACAAGAGGTTTTGAAAGATAGAGAGAAACAGACAAAATGACAAAGAAAAGGCAAAATGAGAAAAAGAAAAAGAATGAGAGAGACAGAGATAAGCCAAGTAGCAAGAGGCAACAGATATCAAAGAAATCCTAACTAAGAAACAATCTAAAAGCAACAGAGGTATCCTAAACTCTGCCCTCTGGACATCTAGAGTCAAAGGTCTTCTGTTTTAAGTAAGCAAGTTAACGCTAAGAATTCCATGTTATCTCTAGGATTAAAGAAGTTGTATGGGTATCACAAAGTTACAAGGAATCGAGAAACAAGTTATCATATTCGAGACAGAAACACAAAAAAAGACTCACAGATATAAGGAGGTTTGTAAAAGTACATCAAAAGTGTACACATTACATCAACTTTACAAGTAGGTATTAATTTCAGATTTGCATTCACACATTATATGAATCTCCTGGAACACACTAACTCTTCTGATACACAATTCATATTAATGGACAAAAACAATTATGATTAACACAATGTAACAATTCAATTTAGACTGAACTCCCTTATCCTGTAGAGAACTTGGTTTCACTCTTGATTTTATACAGCACCGCAAGTTTGACATTAATATCTCAAAGAATTAAATATAACTATATAGCTCTTATATACTGTTTTCAAACAGCTAGATAAGATTCAGAATTGGTACTAAAAAAAGGACGTAAGAAGAAAATTAAATATATATTTCTTTGTGACTGTATCTGATCTGCAAGCAATGTTACACTAAGTGCTAAATACTGGGAGGTAGGACAGCTGAAGCAAAATATATAACATGAAATGCAATACTGAGTACAGCACAGTATTGATTTCATTCTCTTTCACAAAGGGGAAGAAAAATATATATTATAAGCAGTAAATCTAGTGAAACTATAATCTTTCCTAGGCATCCATAAGGCTATCTGTATTGATAATTGTGTTTATAATCTTAAAAGGCATTTCTGGTGATCTGTAGCTGCATTTTTTCAACCACTGATATTGATAATGAAGAAAAAAGCATATTCACATGCAATTTCTGTTGCTAATTTGCAATCTAGACACTGGTGACTCATGAGTTGGTGTAGGATGCAATGACTGGGAATGTAATAAACTTTACCTCATATCCTAGTGATCAGAATACAAAAGACAGTCTTCCCTGGTTACAGTTTTAAAAGAGGGATGACTCTATGGAAACCAGAGTGCAAAAACCATGAACATGTTAACCACTCAAAACATTTGATTAAGTCTGCATTACTCTAATGCAAGCAATGAGAACAGGTGATTTCTAAACATAATTAATAAATACAGTGCTATATCACATTACAATAATTTGCACATCATTGAAGTGCCTCTATCAATAAACAGTGAAGATGTACATTTTAAGCAAAGTGTAGGAACACTCAGCATAAAATTGTGACACATCTTAAAAAAGCACCTGTGAAATACTGAAAACTCATAATAGTTAAACATCATCTGAGGATCACATTACTGCCAGCATAAATAATACACAGTATATAATGACAAAACCTATCCACAGATGAATCATGAATTTTCTAAAATGAATGGGGCTCATCTACACCCAAAAACCAAGGAAACCTCCGCTGCAATCCCCTGGAAATTCATGCGAGAAAACACAAAAAACGTTTCTTTAATCATACTCTAACCCAAACAACATAATATTCACAACAGACACTAAGCTGCAGCCTCTCCTGTCATATATAAACAATCGCCTATTGTCTATCTCGTATAGATGTTACTGAACCTGATACTTTACTACTCCTTTTACTGAGTACATACTCTATTTTGCTACCAGAAGGAAATTATAATAGCAAAAGAATGAATCACACAAAAGTAAACAAGTCAAAAGTGCCTTAAAATACCAATGTGTGTGCTATATGGAAGACTGACAGCATCTTTACAAAGGCCTGGAGGTTGCTGAGTGAAAGCTCCCCCTTACAAGGTATCAGAATATCTGTTGCTCTTCCAAAAAATGTTGGGTGTGTAGTCAGGAATCCTATGTTGAAAAATTGGAGAAACTTGGAAAAAAAGATAAGGAGAAGAAGGAGAAAAAAACAAACAAACAAAAATATGAGTAGATGAAAAAGAAGTTTATGACGATGAAATAGATGAAAGAGATGAAAAAAAAGAGAAAAAGGAGGAACAAGAAAAAAAGAGAAAAGGAAGAAAATGAAGAGGAAGACCCAGAGACCTCCAGGCAAGATGCCAAGAAAAACAAGGGAAATTATGGGTCAAACACCATCAGTCTCTGAATGCTTAATTCCAAGTGACAATCCTCCAAAAATAATCACATCCAGCAACACCCGAGAGAGAGACAGAGATAGACAGAGAGATAGGATGGGAACATGCATAACTAAACCTCAGGGGGGAAAAAAACCAACCTCTACTCCTTGGTCAGGATTAATGATGGTGTCAAAGGCCGAGAGAGCTAATTGCTAAAGCCCACAATCACACGCACACAAGGGGGTCAAATGGTAGGAATTGTATTAATACGTTTTACATAAAAAATACTGGTTACTGAAATTTAAAAATAATAATAATGGTGAATTCTGCAACAATCATAGGATCTGCAGTATTCCCATATAATTATGAATGAATGGTACACATGCTTAGTTTTCTTTTAAGTGTGGAAGACTTATGAAACAAAAGTAAATTTCTTCTTTATAAGGGATCATAATATATACTGTATAAATCTCTCATTTCCTTTCAAAAACATGCAAACAGCATTCAACTCAAGTTAGTTCCTAGAACTAAATTAATCTTCATCATCTTTGAGGAAACTACATGACTGGCCTTTTAACTCTAAAATAAAAAAAATAATAATAAAATAACTAAGAACCACAATACTGATGATGACAATAACCATGATGATGACTATGATAATAATGATATGATAATCATGACATTGGCATGATAATGATGGTATAGGTAACAATAATGATCATAAGTGTCAACAAATAAATTACTCTCTATAAAAAAAAAAAAAAAATAGATTATGCAAGAATGAAATTCCAAAAAAATAAAAAAATAAAAATCAAGCAAATCACATCTAAAATTTGTCTCTGTTTAAAATTTGTATACAAACACTTCCAAAAATGTGCAGAAAAAATGAACAGACTGATATAAATTTACTTAAAAAATTAGGAGGATATCTACTTCAGAGGACCCCCATTATTTGTCAATATCAGAAAAATATGAATACTGATTCAACAAATAAAGATACACAATATCCCATAGGAATACATTATAAAAGGGTGTAACATGGACCGTTCAGTGGTCTGCTTAACCATGTAACTTATATGTATATCCTTAAAATATATTACTAAGAAAAGTTCAGACAAAAGAGAAATGCAAACATTGCATACTGCAAGGATGGTGTAATTATTGCTCAATCCACAGGAATTCAGAGGGTAGTCCACAGGCGTAGAGTCACAGGGATGAGGGCCAGGCTTTATGCAGGTGGGTGAGATGGGATCATCACCTTTTACATTGGCCATGTCATCTAAATTATCAACCAGGTTTCTTGCAAAGGAATCAGAAGTGGTTGAGATGGATGGGTGAGGATCATTGTGCATTCCATGTTCAATGTGATTCTGTTTAATCATCTAATATCAGTTGCATGTTCATCGCTTTTATTCCTTTTTATCATTTCCATCTTTTTTAGCATTAACACAATCTGATGATGCTTAGCTTTGGGTGGATTTGCATTAGCTATTATTGATTAATGTGTCAGGGAGGTAATTCAGCAGTAGTACTCCATAGCACCTAAGACAGATAAAGCAGAGGCTGGGAAGAAGACATATAATGTTCATGTATACTGTAGTTCTGATTCATGTAT